GGGGTAGTGGGGGAGGTTGGATGCATCAGAGGAAAGTGCTCGACTGCTGGGTGAGGTCCTGAAAACTGGTGAAAATGGCCAAAGGAAGGAGAGAAAAAGGCCCTCGGACAGATTCGGATACAGGCAAAGTCCAGGAGACTTTGAGGAGTTAATGGGAAAACAATCCTTCTTATCTGCTTCCTGCCAATCTGTGTCCATTGACAGAGCAGAAGTAATTACAGATACTGTAGACACACCACGGCATTAAGTAAAGTGTTTCAAATTATACTGCTTAACGACGCTTCCTCATACGGCCGGGCGGCCCGGGCCGGCACTGCGGGCACACGGTGCCGTCCGCAGGAGTTTCTCACACTGGGCATTTACTCCAGCAAAAAGAAAGAAAAAACGAGTTGATACTAATTTGGTTTCTGTTGAATATTTAGAATGTCGCTCACAGAGTGAGCCGAACATATTTTGAGGATTTTCATAGTTTGCCTCGTAGGCCCCACCAGCAGGGTCAGCGCTGTAGATTAGAATAAATTCAGCGGAGGGAAAATAAAGCTTTGGAATAGATGCTGCCTTCCCGGAGCACGTAGCAGGCATTAGCAATAATGGGAGCCCTGCCTGTGCATGGAGAGGCAACATCTACTGCTCGGGCTCCCACCCTCCCCGCCCCGGGCTGTGTGGTCCCATGACCTTCACAGTGGGTGGGAAGATTCTGGATTCATCATCTCTTAGCTTTACGCTGCTATGCACAGGACAAAACACACACAGACACACACACACATATACACACTGTTCTTTCCTTGTGGAAGGGAGAGACGGGAGGGAAAGGGGACAGAAGCTGCTGAGACACAGCCCACACCCATGAGGTGACCGAGCCTTTCGGGCGTGGACGTGAACTGACTCCAGTTGCCCTTCGTGGTGGCTGTGCCATCCGCGCTAGGCTAAAGCCGCCCGCTTGCTAGTCTTTTCCAACTTCAGGGAGCGCTACGGAAACAACGGGGAGCTTCAGGACCTTCCTTAAGGCTTTTAGTCCACCCTGTGCGTCTGTCAGCTCGGGTGCGGCAGAAAACCATTAAGCCAAACCATCACAAGAGCGCTGGGTTTGGACGCAAAGCGGCTCACTCGCTGTTTCTATGCATACGTGTGTCCTCGTGCATTTCATTTCTTAATTTTAAGACAAGGAGGCGTGAAGTACTGGTGTAGAGACAGTAAAGCACACTCTGGTCCTCCTCTCGGTCAACGGCATCACCGAGGAGACGGCACCTTCACCAGGCATTCGCTGCTGGTTACTCTTTAACGGAAACTCCAGATAACATGGATACACTTTACTTAGGGCATCTCATGAGGCCATTTATATTTTTCACCTACCCTTCCCAGCTCCTCCTGAGGCAGGAGTTGGCCTGGGTCCTGGCCCCGCTCAGCCACCATCTAGCACTGCGACTGAGCAAGCCACCTCTGCGAGCCCCCTCCCCACTCTGCAGATCCCCAAGGTCTTGCCTGAGACCCGAGGACTCCGCTGGTCTTCAGCAAGAACACAGGGGCCATCGAAAACCACGCCCCCAATCTGGAAAGTCCTTTGACAGGAAAGGAAACGTAGCAACATGTGGTTTGTTTCGGTTCTGCGATTTTGCTGCTCCGGAGATTGAAATGGCAGGGACAAGTTGACAGGATGTAAGTCCCCAAGGCGCTCGGGGGAGCTGGCCGCAGTGCTGAACCTGCACTGTGAGGGCCGCGCAGCTCACCCGCCCACACCCCGCGGGTCAGCGGCGACACCCCAGGACACAGGCAGACAACGGTGTTCTCAGCAAGCTCCAGGCCTGTGGCATCGGGCACGCAAACAGCCGGGGGGATTTCGGAGGGACCGCGTGGGACAGTCCCCAGACCCGTTAGGGCTAGTGTTCACTTAGGAGTTTGGGAATAGCTTTGGAGGGAGTGCGCTGCAGTTCAAATGAATATTAACAGATGGGTCTTGGAGCAAAGAAAATATCTCCTTCGGTTCAGGGCCTGGTAAGTATCCAAGAAGGAAAAAGCCCCTCAGTGTTAAAAGGCTTGGGGCAAGGGGGTGCGACGAGCCCCCTGGAATCAGGAATCATCAGTACCAGTTGGGGAAAGAACTCGACTTACAGTTTCAACCAAATTGGCTGAGCTTCCCAGGTGCCTCCTAACTAAACACTGTCTCTCCAAAATTCCTCCCCTCAACAATTTATTTCTTGCAGATAGTATCAATGTGTCTCTTTGTTGCTGTGTTAATGTTCTCAAAATCTTTGTTTTTCCAAAACCTAAACGCTTGCGCCAGAGCTGTACCCCCATCAACGCACCAGCGCTCATCCCCCCTCCCCACTCCAAAGAGAAAGCCCAGTGAGCGGTGCCACTGGGACGTGTGCCGTGGTTCGGGGGACGTCGGGCTGTCCCCGTCCCCCGCCATCAAGGAGGCTGTCTACACAATTCCTTTCTTTAGCCCCAGGCCCAACTTCCTTATTAACACAGACACGACACTTCACTGGAGCTGAAGTACAAGAAATTTTCTGCTTGATGTGTTTTATGTCCCATTAGTATGTTCCCCGCACATCACACGCCTCTCTGGTGAGAATGTGTCTGGTGAAGGTTTAGGGGGAGGGCTCCCCACCACTTAAAACGGAGGAGGGAGAGACGGACTCATGAAGGAGTTCATCTGAAGCCTCCCTCCGCTCTCCCAGGGGGTCGGGACTCCCGAGCTCTGTCCTGCCCTGGAACCTTCCCTGGCATCCGTGCACTGTCACCAGCCGCCCGGGGCTGGCTGGGTCCCTTTTTCCTGGGCATCTACAGCGTTGCTCTGTGTCTGCTTTTTCCTCATGGCTGGGGCGGGACTGATAGGTTTCTGCTAGTCATGATTTACAGGATGAGACTGGAGGCAGGGCAAACATCCGTTAGCTCCGAGTGTGCAGGAGTCCAATCAGTGACCAGCCCCCTCCCCCAACAACATCACAACCACCACGACGACTTGGTTCTTGTTTTCATCAGGCGGGAGAAACCAGAATGGTGTTTGCACATACAGACTATTCACAGCAACAAGGAAAGATGAATCGAGTCCATAAAGCTCCCAGGTGGGGGGGATTTCAGAGGGAAGAAACCCAGAGCAGGGGAAGCCCGTCTCCAGTGGGGACTGGCAGTTGTCCCACAAGAGGTCACATTTCCTAGAGTTCGAGGAGGCAGCCAAACCCCCGTCCGAGACACAGGATCTGGTGGCGCGGGCACAGCCCGGGGGGACGCCGCTGCAGCTCCCTAGGGGAACAGGATGCTTGGGCATCTAGAATGGAATGCGGAGCTCACGCCCAGGGCCGGGGCCTGGGCAGAGGGCCTGCCAGGGTCCCCTGGGCATGGCAGGGGCAGGCACCACAGCAACACACAGATGCCCAGGGAGAAGCGGGCACCAGCAAAGAAAACCCTTGGGCACCTTCTCGACGCCACCCACAGCCATTTCTAGAAACAGCTGCTGGTCGTGGCCCAAACAAACGTCCGCAGAGAGAAGCTAGGTGGTGAGATGAGGGGCAGGCCGAGGGAAACGAGTGACCCGGACACGTGGACACTGTCCCTCCTGGAGGAGGCAGGCGGGGGCGGTGACCCCACCCCAGGCAGGCGGCCTTGGCTTGCGTCCCCCGAGCTCTGGGTCTGGCCGAGGTTGCCGGCCTCTTTGAGAACCGGCTCCTCTGACCAGCCGCATCCACTAATAAGCCATTGACCTTGAGTTTGAGTCTGGGGCTGATTTGCTGCTCTGTCTGGGGGAACCCCAGGGGCCTGTGGCTTAACGGGAAGAAATCCTCATTTTAGCAGCAATAGCTTTTCCTCTCTTCCCGCCACAGTGATCAAATTAGCAGGCTGCTTCTCCTCAGAGAAAATGTGTCCACGGTCCCGGGAGGCACTGCCCATTTGCCTGTCTGATGGGTTGGGGAAGGGGAAGCGGGGATGTGTGTGAGCGTGTGCCCCTCCCTTCCCGGCCCAGGAGGGTCTGCCCCGCCCGGATGGCCACCCAGCCCGCCTGCAGCAGGCCACAGGGAGGGCGGGGTGCCTGCTGGAGGCTTAGCTGCAGGAGGCCTGGCAGGAGGCTGCGTACACACTGCCCGCCACGGCCCCGCTGCTCAGGCTGCTGGTGGGACACTTGAGGGGCTTCATGCTGCTGTGCCTCTGCATGCGCCAGTGCTCGAGCCGCCAGCGCTCCCAGCTCTTCTGAAACTCCATCTGGACCTTCCGTGGGAAAAAGAGGGAAACAGAAGCCATCATGCAAACCCACTGCCCGCAGATTGGCCCCTTATTGCATTAGCAGGAAAGGGACAAATCCGCTGCATTATAGTAAGAGACACAAGTCAAGGCCTTCGGGCGCCTAAATTAATATCCCAATAAAATTGTTTATTGTGGTCTCCTATTTTCCGCCTCTCCTCAGGAGAGAGATGGGCTGGATGATATAATCGGTCCCTTCCATCTCTAAACTCTGACTCAGCTAAGTACCTTTACACTCCATCCCAGTACCGTTTAACAGAAGAGAACGGGAGAGGGGGAGAGGGAGAGGAGAGAGGGATTCGGGGAGACGGAGACGGGAGAGGAAAGGACAGTCTGACTTCGGAGCTCGCTCTCCAGGTTTCAGCTTGGACGACAGAAAAGAGGACACACGCCCCTCCCCTTGTGGTGCCTACACCGGACCCTTCTAAACTCCCTGAGGCTTCCCAAGGAGGCCGAGGCTGGAGGCAGCAGTGAGGAGGGGGCTGTGGACAAGGGCTCCTTGGCCTGTACTTGAACTAATCCTATCCAGGAACTAATCCCATCCCGTCCCAGCCCACTCGGGGTGCAGCCCAGGCAGGTTCAGTCAAACAGGGTCCCTGCTGTGCTGGGCTCGGGCCTCCTGTCAGGAAAAGCCTTCTTGAGAGAGCTGATGCCTGGGGACCATGTTGTTGGGCATAAAGATGAAATCCAGCTAACGCTGCAGATCCCCAAGTCATTTACAGGCTTACGGTGACGCCATGGTGACCCAGGTCCCCTAGAGGGGGCTGAACCTGCACGCTCAGCCCAGGGTGTCTAGAGGCTCTTCTAGGGGATGTTCCTAAAAGTTTGCTTCTCAGAGCTTCTCTGAGGTCCCCCACCCTTGCCCCCAGGCCTCTCCCTTTCAGGCCCCAGCCACCGGGAAGGTAAGTAGCTCACTCACAATGCCCCCATCAGTCCCTGCACAAACACCTCTCTTCTGCAGCTGCAAGGGCTGTCACCCACCTAGCTAAGCCCATCAAGACATCTGGTGTGGCCACACACCATCCCTTAAAAGAATGTCTTCTGCGCTGGGTGGAGCTGAGGTGCCAAGAGCCTATCTGCCAGGATGGGCCCAGTGTCCCAGGCCGAGCCGTGGAGCCCAGGCTTGGGTGCAGGAAAGAGGTGGAGTGGACGCCACGCACAGCCCTCCCTCACCTCGCCACATGCCAGCTCCCTGCCCAACAGAGTGTGTGGCACGTGTGCTGACAGCTGGTGGCCTCTGCTTGAGCAGCAGCAGGGAGGCCCATCTTGTCTCACAGCCCTTAACTGAGGGAAGGGGGAGAGAGATGGTAAACCAAGGCACAAACATGGGCAGCCACCTCAGGGACTGACACGGTCTCTTAGATACCAGCAGGAAAACAGACCAGACCAGAGCTCCTCAGAGTGCTCGCACTGTGTGCCTGTCCCCATCTCCCTCGGCGCTTTGCCTGGCACTGTGTGCCCCTGTCCCTGTCTCCCTCGGCACTTTCCTGAACCTCAGCTGTGGTCCCTCTCATTGAAAAGCATCACTTATTGGGAGCTACTCCATGCAGCAATTGCCATGGATTAGTTTAGTTAAACTTCACAGCAACCCTGTGAACAGCTCTTGTTAGAGGAAGCTGGGTGCGGAGTATAGAAGTATTTCTCCAGGATTTGAACCTTGACCTGGGCTCCAACCCGGTCTCCTGACCACCGGCCCTGCCTCCCATGACTTTCTGGGCCGTGCTTGTTTCTGGCCAGTCCCACCCGATCGCAGCTGGGAGCGCCAGGGGCCTGCACCACACCTTCCTCGCCTCCCCTGCCCTGCCCTGAACCTGACACAGCGCCCAGCATACAGTAGGTGCTCGATGTTTCTTAAATAAACCGAATGAGCGAGCGAGTAATGAAAAACGCTGGGCTCCTCATTACTGGGTTATTACAATGGAACCAGAAGGACCACAAGGCGAGTCTGGACACGGTATCTGCGTGGTCAGTGCACTTCCCCTAAGTTCACCCTCCCATCGCCTCTCTGAGCAGGCACCAGGCCAGGCTCCGGGGCTTGGGGTGAACCAGTAAAGCTCATTCACCTCCATTTGCACTTGGGGGGAGAGGCGAAGTGACCTCCGGGTCACATAGCCAGGCAGTGTCTGAGCTGGGCCAGCACTCAGGCTCCAGAGTCAAGAGTCACGGTGAGCGGACACGAGCTGCCACAAATCCACCCAGGCCTCCCCTCCCTGGGCCAGCTTCCCGCCCATTGGCAGTGGGTGCAGCCCCCACGCAGGAGCGATGTCCCAGCCATCTCTTCTTTTCAGGTTACAAGTACCTGGTGTTGCCATGGCAACCCTGGGCCTAGAGAACAGCTCTAGTGGACAGAGGCCTTGGCCCAGGAGCCAAGGGTGCTTTTTGTGGCCCAGTGATGGTGACAGGCCTGTCCTCGTGCCTGGAGGAACCAGGGCATGAGGCATCTCCAGGAGGGTTTTGAAGGTGCAATATGCAGGGCCTCCGGGACCCCAAGCACCAGCCCGGGAGAGCCCCCGGGGAGAGGCCAGGGGGAATCTGGTGATTCAAGGACCACGTTATTTGCCAAGGGCAGCATGGAGATATGTGCCCATCCTTCCCTCCTTATACAGCTGGGCCAGCCGTGGGAGGTGGGCAAGGAGAGAGGTGCCAGGGTGACTGGGCTTTAAGGAATGGAATCAGGAGAAGCGACTGAGTCGGGGTCCAGGTGAGATGCTCCCCAGAAGTGGTGGGGAAACAGGTGCATGCAGGTGTGTGTGTGTGGCGGGGGGCAGTGAGCCTGTGCTGCCAGCACGGCCTTGGGGAAGGGGGAGGGATAAGTGGGACACAGGGGTGGGAGCTGGGAGCGTCGAGAAGGTGGGAAGGCGGCAGCAAGGAGCCCCTTTCTCTCCACACAGGCCTCTGTCCCCTCTGCCCCCATCTCACACATAGATACCTGCCACCCTGCCCCTGTCCCCCAGAAAATAAAGCAGCAGAGCTTTGGGCTGGGCGGCACATCACCCCTCTGGCTGAGAACCATTCCTGCAGGGGCCACCACCCCTCCGAGTGTCCTCTACGCCCACCTTCCCTCCTTGCCTGGCCCTCCCCACACTGAGTCTGGCCAGCCCTCTGAGACCTGCCCATGGGAACAGCCTGGTGCTGCCTCCGCCTCCCCAGCCCTGGCGGCCCTGGTGCATTAGTAGGCACCCCTCCCACCTGCTAGCTCTGCCACCTTCTAGCCATTGAATTAGGGCTATTCATTTCACTTGGCTGAGCCTTAATTTTCTCATCTGTAAAGTGGGGATAACATCTGCTCCACAGGATTGGATTTACTAAAACTCTTGAGCGCCTTACACATGGCAAGTGCTCAGGAAATGTTTCCCCCTCTTTTAGAGATCCAAAGTCCACGTGCTGTGAGGAAACTGAGGTTCAGAGTGGGTGTGCAACTCGCCCAACATCACACAGCTCATTAAGTGATGGGGCCTGGTTCAGAGCAGAGATCTGACTCCAAAGCCCACACCCTTCATCTCTTGCTGCATCACATTGCTTCTTTGAGTCATCCCACAGATCCCCGAAACTCCAATGTTCCTACCCACCGCTCCCCTGGTCCCCCATACCCACAGCAGTAAACTTCGCATTAATGCACAGACTTTAAGATCTCTGAGCTCTGATCCCAGACCCAGTGACACAGAAGCCACACAGAGAGCGGGGTCTTTGACGAACAGTGTCCCTGGGTCACCTGAGCTCCAGCCCCAGGGATGCAAACCCTTACCTGAGCCTGAATGGAGCTGACAGAGGCTCAGTTTCCCCCGGGCTGTGGGGTGAGGGGTGCCTACACTCTCTTCCCTGCTGGGGGTTAGTCCTGTTGTGGAAACTTCCCCCGGTGGCCGTGTACTGCCTGAAGGACTATTGTTTCTTTTCTTCTCTGGAAAGAATTGGGCAGGGGGCTGTGGCGTTTGTGATACTCACTTTGATGGCTTAGGGGTGCTCCTGCTCCGGCACAAAGCTGGGTACCTTGGAGCAAGGGGCCTCCCCCTGGCGCCCACAGACAGCCCCTCTTCCCAGGAGCTGGCTGTGTCAGAGACGGGAGAGCCATCGTCCCACAGGGTCTGCAGGAGAGGCTGTGGGGTCAGCAAGAAGCCCCTCCTCCCAGCCCAGCAACCAGAAAGCTGCCGGGGGATCTCGTCCCCTTTCCCGTGGTGGCCAGGGCTCCTGCCTGTCCACACAAAGGACAGGTGGCTTTCTTCTTTCAGGCACAATTCATTTGAAACCTGGCCCTGCCACTCCTTCCAGGCCAGACCTGGGCATATGTCTTACCCTCTCTGATCATCAGTGTTCTTGTGTGAAAAATGGGAAAATGGAAGCAAGAATTTTAGCAGAGGTTTTTTGGGGAAGAGGCTATGACAGTGGAATGAGTGGTTATTAAAGCCCCAAGTCTGAGACATGGGCACATCTGATGAATCAGCTTGCAGCACTCCAACCACCTGTTCACTCCGGACCTCTTATCATGAGGCTGGGTCTTCCCCAAACTCACAGATGGTTAGGTATGCCTGCACACGCGCGTGTGTGTGTGTGTGTGTGTGTGTGTGTGTGAGAGAGAGAGAGAGAGAGAGAGAGATACAGAGACACACACAGAGAGAGGGACCCACGCACAGAAAACAGAATCCACGGACAAGATGCCCCCTCAACTCTAGTGCTCAGTTTGGTGAGTGGGGGTTCGAGCTGAGAAGACTGAGGGGGTCCCCACTGCACGGCTCCAGAACAGCCAAGGGTAGCACCCAGGGGGTGCCCTCGCCCCTCCCCAGGCCTTACCTCGTTGTTGACAAAGCAGTACAGGATGGCCACCATCAGCCCCTGGAAAGAAGAGTCCCGTCAGCAGGGGGAAGCGGGAGGAAGCGGGAGGGGGGTGCCCTGCAGACCGGCCCTGCTCTCAGGCTCCAGCCCCAGCTCCCTGCCCAGGCTGTGCAGCCCCGCGATGGGAGGGGGGGTCCTTCTCCTCTCTTTTCTGGAGGAACAAGGAGCCCCCTTGCCCAGAGGCTCAATTCTTGGCTTTGGAAACTCCATGACTGCACATTTGTTTTAACATCCCTGGGCCTCAGTTTCCTCCTCTATGATGGGGAGAATCCTGCACACCTCCTGGGGCTCTGCGAGGACTAAACACACAGCGTCCGTAAGCAGCTGGCAGGGCGCCTCCCACACCCAGTAGCGGCTCGAGAGATGGCAGCTGCAATGCCAGCTGGGTGCCCACGGCTAGGCTTCTCCAGGAAGGCTCCTCATCCCAAGTGCTTATGGAAAAGACTGGTCTGGGCATGGGACCCCTGGGGATTCCAGCTCAAGCTCGGCTCCAACTACAGACACCGGGCAAGGACCCCTTTCCTCCTGGCCTCAGGCTGCCCGGCTGCCTGCTACAGGCTGGCCTCTGCCCCACCCCCACTCCAGGACTTGGAAGGGAGGGACCCCAGCCATGAGGTCACCTGGAAGGAGGTGAAGGAGAGCTCCGTGAGCAGTTTGACAAAGCGCAGGGTCCCCCGGGCGTGCTCGTCCATCACGAAGGCGAAGATGACCTCGTGGGTGCCCAGCAGGGGGATGAGCGTCAGCGTGGACTTGGCAAGTCTGGGGGGGGGGGTGGAGATGTCACTGGGGACCTCTGCCATGACTTTTCCCCCCTTTCTTTGCCCTCAACCCCCACCAAGGCCTGGCATTCAGGTCACGGACACCCTCCCATACCAAGTACCCTGGGACAGTCTACTTGGAGGGGAGGGGGCAAAGGTCGAGCCCCCAGAAGCCCAGGAGCTGCCCGGGCACAGGGATGAGGGCAAGGCTTGGGGTCCCGGGGAGGCCCGGCGCGAGAAGGTAATGCAGGGGTCAAGCTTGGCACCCCGGGATCTGCATCTCTGCTGGGAGGAAGGGCAGAGGGTGCCCGGCAGAGACAGTTGTCACGTCACCTGCACTTGATGTCCGTCTTGCACATGAGATTGGCTCTCAGTTTGGACACCACGATGCAGATGACCCGGACAAAGATGAGGAAGTTCACCTGCGGGGCAGCCAGGGGCGTGGCTGGGCCTGCTCACAATGCCCACGCCCCCAGGCCTCCCCAGCACACCCCAGGGCCACCCCGCACCGCCGCTCACCCCGATGGCAAAGAGAATGGGCAGCCGGATAATCAGCCAGTAATTCATGTTCGAGTTCCTGGTCCAGCAGCTAGAGAGGGGAGAGAGTCGCAGCCGCCGGATGTGGGCCCAGCTCGCAGTGCAGGCACAGGTCACAGCGGTACTCGTGGCATACAAAGCGACACACCGAGCCACACAAACACTGCCGGTAGGGGCCACCCAACCAGTCCCACAGACCCACACAGATCCCTTCCAGCCACACACACACACACGCACGCACACACAGTCCTAAATACACAGTCACACACAGAGACACACACGAACCTGCATGAACCTACGAACACAGGCATTTGTGTACCTAGCACCATACACAACATAAACCTTTCATTCGCAGTTATTACAGAAGAACCCGCAGGGGGTGCGACACACCCCACAGGCCCACCACCATTGGTCTTCATACAATCCCAGGGAGGGTGGACAGGGGAGTAGAAAACTAAAGTCTTAAATTAAGCTCTGGTCCCTCAGTTCATTCTCCCAACAGGTCACAGCCGCAGGCCTCCAGGGGCCAAGGAACAGCTTGGGGTTTGAGGACAGGACATCAGCACACTTCCCCTGGGAGCAGGACACTCACCCTTCGTCCTCATAGAGGTACTTGACAATGCCCCAGGGGATGACAAACAGCAGGGGAACACCTAAGAGCAGATGGGGAGAGAGAGAGGGGAGAGGGGCTGGCAGGCCAGAGCCACGGCCGTGCACGCCAGAACCTCTCCTTACCAGGCCTCTCCCACCTCCAGCCCCTCTCCTTGCCTGGCCCATACCACACTTTCTAGAAGGTGTGGAAACAAGCATGAAGAACAGGGGCACCAGACCCCCCCACTCCCAACTCCCCGGCTTCCTTAGAGAGAGGCCCCCATCACGTGGTGGCTGGGCTCCTCCTGGGCAGTCACGGGCCAGGCACACTGTCAGGTTCACCCCCAGGGCCTGGCTGAGACACAAGGACACAGACACCCAAGCAGCAGAGGGACAGGCCATGGAGTGGGGAGAACATGCTGGATGAGGTGGGAACAGGCCAGTTCTCGGATGCGCTTCCCCCACCGCCTCAGCCCACTCCACCTCAGTCAACTCCTCAGGCTCAGGAAGCTGGCCAGTCACCTGTTCCCAGCCCACGCGCACCTGCAAGGGGCCGGGAAGAGCCTGGGGTAGAAGCAGGAGCCCTATCCTTGATGCTGGCAGCCCAGCTAACTGTGCAAAGTGGCCCACAATCACAATCACAACTACAACAACAGCACTCCACCTGACTGAGACTTGACCGGTGGTAGCAGCTTTGGGATGCCCCCCAAAGATCCCCCCCTTGTGGCACCCACACCCTGGCACAGTCCACATGTACCAGGGCTGGTCTGTGTGACAAATGATGCACAGCAGAAGTGACGGCGTGACACTATGAGATCAGGTTATAAAGCACCATCTTAAAAGGTTAGGCGAGGCTTGTCTTGGGCTCTCTCTCAATGTGGTCACTTGCTCTGGGGGACACCAGTTGCCATGTCACAAGGACACAGCCTATGCAAGGCCCCTGTGGAAAGGAATGCAGACCTCCAGCCAGCAGCCAGCAAGGTCCTAAGCTTCCTGCCCTCAACCTCACACCTGAGCTTGGCAGTGGGTTCTCCAACCCCAGCTAAGCCCTGAGATGACAGCTGCCCTGGTGACAGCTGGACAGCATCTCCATCAGAGACCCCGAGGCAGAGGCCCACTGAGGTGAGCCAGTTTCTGGACCAAAGAAACTGAGAGGTAATAATTGTTTTAAGCAGCTAAGTGGTGGGGTCACTTGTTTGCAGCGATACGTAACTAATACAACTGGTTTCCAGCGAGAGCCTCACTCATCTTGAGAGCCTCAGTGCTCAGTTCACCCTGAGAGCTCAGCACGTGTTTGCTGACTTAAAATCGGATTGTCCATCCTCAGGTGACAGATGGAGATCGGAGTTCAGTAGGGCACAGGTGGGACTAGAACGCAGGGCTGCAATCTCACGCCAGTGCCAGCCATCCTCTCTCCACGCCTGTCTCTATGGGTACCCCTCTCAGGGGGGGAGATGTGGGTGTCTGAGATGGGTAAAAGTGTGCATATAAAGGCGTGTTGACACAGATGTGTGTGGGGGTCTGTATGTACGCATGTGTCACTTTGGGGGTCTCCCCCAGGAGCACGTTTCCAGGGCAGGACACACGTCAGAGCCTTTCCTGCCACCGTCATCCAGACCCTCACCAGCAGCTATTGAGTGGCCCGTGTGCCTGGAGCTACCGTGCCTGGCAGTGCAGACAGGCGTGGAGGAAGCAGAGAAGCTCGCAGCTTCACCAGATATCTCTACCTGGGCCACTTCGGACACAACAGGCCTCTCGGCATCCATGATGCTTTCGTAACAGGCTTTCATGAGACTGGACAAGGGACAGAGGCTTCCAAAGGCCCCAGCACATAGTGCGGAGCCTGCCACATAGAAGATTCTCAGTGAGAATGGAATGAATGAATGAATGAATGAGGGAGTCAGTATATCAATTAGAGAAGAAAGCTCTCCAGGCAAGAGCGTGCCAATTTCCTGAGACACACATGGACAGAAACCTCCTTCCTGGGCATCCCGGCCACATGCTGTCCATTTCCCCCGGAAACCTCACTCCAGGACTGGGAGCTCACTCACGTTACCTGACCTGGGGAACTTCATTCATTCATCAGCATCTCCTTAACAAAGTCTTTCTAAAAACAGGCACAGCTCTACCGCGTGCAAAAATTACACACTCCCTGCTGGCTTCATCTTTCTCCCATTTAGAAAACCAACGAGACAGGCTGGAGGAAAAGCTTGAATTAAGACACAGAACCAGCTCCAAGAAGTAATGAGGCCCTCGTCCATCACTTTCCTCCCTCCTGCGCAGCCTCCTTGTGGGGGGTTACGGGTTACCTGGCTGCCCATGGACTGTGGCAGCAGCTGACATGCCTTTTGGGAACACCCCCAACTGTGTTGGAGCCCTGATTTTAATTCTCCTGCTCACACATGAAGCTACGCGTTGCTTCCCGAGCATGCCAACTCAGGCCAGGCCTCCTGGCATCACAACAGATGCCTCTGTCCTTCTGCCTTTGTCCCTCTGTCTCTCTCTGTATCTCGCCATCTCAATTCATCAAGAAAAGGATGCTCTGATTGGGGAGGGGGGTCCCCCAGGTCCCAACCTTGTGCCCCTCAGACCCTGAGCCCTGAGCTGGGGAGTGAGGTGATGGGAAAGGATTGGCACCCCTCCCCCACTTCCCACTCAGAGACCTCGGGGCACTGCGTGTCCCCACCAACCCTCCACCAACCACCCGCACTCCTCTGTGCACATCACAATGTCCCTTTGATTGTTCCTGTCCTCAGGTCACCATGGTGACAGGCACTCCCAGTGCTGATGCCATTTCCCAGAATGGACAGACACCGGCCCCCACCCTGAGGACAGCCTTCCCAGAGCTCTCCTCAATGACCAGCCCATACCCACCCCTGGCTATCGGCAGGGCTCTCCAGCCAGCCGCTGTCTGGTTGACTGCTCTAGTGGGATGAAGAGGCCTCAGGAGGCAGGGAGGCTCGGCAGGGAGGGGCTCGGCCTGGGAAAGGAGGGGCGGGAGGTGGGAGCAGGGAGCAGAGAGCAGAGGCCAGGCCCCGGGCCCACCTGTTCAGAGGCCTGAGCGTGCTCCTTTGGGCCTGCAGGGGACTAAAGAAGAGACACAGTGCAGGCTGGACAACTTGGCAGGACAGGCTGAGGGGCCCGGGCCCTGGGATTCAGGAGGCCCAGTTCCAGCGCCTGCACTGCTCTGAGGCCCTGGTCACACTAAAGCCCCCTTAGAGATACTCTCTACAATGGGCTACAGAGCCAAGTGGCTCAGGAACACCCGCAAAAAGCAGTGGAGTGTGAGAGAGAGCAAAGAGCCAGGCGGAGAGGCAGCCTGCGTGGCCTCCTGGGTGGGCTGGACCAGGATAGCCTTGCGAAGGGCCCAGGAGCAGGAGCCAGTATGGGACAGGGACTTCGGGGGAGGAGTGTGGCTGTCACTGAGGTGGAAGTCCCTGGGAGTCAGGGCCAGCAGTGGTCAGCGCAGCCCGAGGTGGGCGAATGAAGGAATGAGAGGAATGGATGGATGGATGGCAGGCTGGAGGTGGAGGCGGGTCCTATGGTGTCGACAGGGACACGGGGACCAGGGAGGGCCAGATGCCAGGGCCCTCTTTGGCTCCTTCCCAGTGGGTGCCTGTGGGCCCCTCTAGAGCAAGAGCTGTTGCATCTGTTTTCTGGGTAGCAAGTGAGGGTTGGGGACGCTGCTGCTGGATTTCCCAGCCCCTGCCCCACCTCACCCCTTTCTCATCGGAATCCTACGTGGCGAGAGGCAGAAGCACAACCAGAAATGTTCCAGCAAAAAAAAAGACACAATGGTTCTCCGCAAACTTTTTTGGCTAGAACATTTCCAGCTGGGCTCCAGCACATCCGCGGTCCACCCTTCCGCAGCTGCTCCCGCCGGCTGCCCTGCTCTCCTGCCAGCCCTCTTCACCATCATGTGACAGAGCCGTGGCCCTCAGGCCC